GGCCTGACGTAAACAGCCATGCAGAAGACTGATACAGGCTAGCGGGGAAAATCAGATAATTGCATCGTTTTTTTGGGGAGTCAGGGCATAGCGTTTGAGTGTGGCAGCCTTCTGTAATTCATGTCAGAAAATGACCTTATGGAATCAGGCATTCTCAGCTGCCGGAGGGAGCGCAGGCTGAATCACGGAGCGCACGCGTCAGGACCGCTCCAGGCAGGTGCTTTCGTCAGAACAGCCAGGTTAAACGACATGGCTGAGAGGAAAAGTCTCTTACAAGCAAAAACAATAAAAAAAGTTCCTAGTGGCTTTGCTTCTATACGGGGCTTTTGACAGACAGCAGTCACAGGGACTGGGCCTGAACTGCCTGGGTTTTATTAGCACAGTGTTATGAATTAAATTGTATGCAGTGGTTACGCTGCCTACCGGGGTTTGAACATTCAGAAGAGGACTCATAGCCGTCCTTCCAGTACATCGACTTTCCTTCCAGTTTCCTATTAAGAGTTACTAAAAATACACAGCACAAGCTGGGACTGCATAGGATAATTATACAATAGACAGTGTTTACAAAGACATCAGTGACAGATTTCTGTTCCCTTAACAGGCTTAAATCAGTAGTTAAAGCCCAGTAATGAAAAATGAAGTTATTGCAAAATGGAATATACTTTATTTTTTTACTTCAGTGTAATTTTCTATCTTCACTTGAGGAAACATGGTGATAGAAAAGCAGAAGCCAAAGGATAGCGTCCCGCATTGTCTTGTGAGTCTTTTCACAGATCTTTAAGGAGACTTGAAAGACATCTTTCTGACCCGAAAGGCCTTGTGTGTAATACTGGGCAGTGTGGTATGAGTCTGTAACATGCTTGCACCTGTCCCCTCCCATCTGTGACCCCCCTGCAGACAGCCAGGCCAGGTCTTCATCTCTTCCAGTACGGGTATTGACCCAGCATACAGTCCATCAATTAACCGATCAATCAAATGAAGGAATCTCACTTCATTGTTACCTCTCCAGCATGCTTCTTCATAACGAGCACCATTTTATAATGTGCTTTGCAATGGCTCTTGTAATGACGAAAGGGTTTCAGTAAAAGTACAGGAAGAAGAGTCTCCATGGTCATTAAAAATCCCAGGGCATTTCTTGAATAGAGTAGGGCTGTTACTGCGGTGTCCTGCCCAAATTCCCCCCTGGTCTTGACCAGTGATGGCCTCTTAATAATCCCCATCTGTGAACTGTCTCCATCACTCTGCTCTCCTCCCCACTGAGAGCTGGTGTGTGGGGAGCGGATTGGTGCATCACCCAGGTGGGGCTGCACACTGGCGGTGGTGGAGGGGATCCCCATTACCTGTAAAGCGCTTTGAGTGGAGTGTCCAGAAAAGTGCTATGTAAATGTAAGGAATTATTATAATTATATACCAGTTAAGCCAATGGGAAGAAACCTTTTCTAGAAGTTAATTATAGACCACTCATCAACCTTGGATACAAGACTCTGTTTAAGGACTCTTCGATTCAAATAACTTTAAATAACGTTCATGCGGTCCATGCCAAATGACACAAATCTGGTGAGCATACGTTAATCCAGACATCTTTCATTTCACAGTGCAATGGGTTTTCCACTATGAGACAAATAAACCGTCTTCACTTGCAAACAGCATCTGAACCATTCAAACGAGCAGCCGCACCGTTCTCACTGCCTGTTTCTCTGCAGGCTCTGAAAACCTCAAAGCCTATTTCTCGTGAAAGACATGAGCAAAAGCATGATAATGCTGGAAAACTATTTTTGACATTAAGTTCTGCAAACAAACTAAAAAAACTCTCCCCCCCCCCCCGGCCCGTATAAGATTCATCGCAACCTCCTAATCAGCTTGTCCAAGGATTTCCATTGTAGCCAGCTAAGGGACGAGTTAAAGAGCTCATTGTGATTAGCTTACAATTAATCCTGAATATCTGGAAATTGTAAGGTTAAAGATCTCTGATTGAGGCATTGTCATCTGCTAGCTTACTGCTGCCTTGTGGGTTTTTGGTGCCTGTTTAAGTGCTTTAATCTTGTGCATGATGGTAAAAGTAACAAGAAAGTTACAAGTAGGGCACATTAAAAAAAAGCACCCGAAAGACAGCCATGATAAAGAGGGCCTGAATCCTACAGAGACCAGGAGCCTCAATTGGCTCGCACCCGTAAGTGTGTGGTTCCTCCTGGGCATGAGCTGGCAGGCAGGAGGGGGCAGGGGTCACTCTGGGCTCTGTGGCCTCCTGCGCTCCTGCAGTTTCAGCACACAGGGGGGCTTCAGTTTTCCATGGTGTCTGTCGGTTGCCTGGAATATGAAGGAAAAGAAAGAAAGAAAGGAGACAGAAGCAGCAACAGGACACACGAGGTCTTTAAGGCAGCCTTAATGAAGCTCCTCTTCTGTGCCTTCCAGGCTCTCTCTTGAAAACCCATCTATTCCTTCTTTAAAAGCATCCCTCACTCCTGCCGCTTGATTGGATAACCGAGACATTCTTTCCCGAGCATGAGAGAGGAACATAAGAACCGCAAGGAAAACAGTGACAAAAGAATAATGTTTATCCAACAGGAGCATCCTTGCTTGTTTTGTGTAGTATATTTTCTTTTTTTTTTGTTGCAAATTTCATTTCCCTGCCAAGCTATGGCTGTCCATGCTCTGCTAATCCACAGCCTGATTTGTTTTTCCCAGAATCCCCCTGGGATGCCAGCTGTCACAGGCTCTGTGAGCTTTTAAACAAACGAGAGGCCTGAGATTCCTCAATTTCACAATATTAATAGGCCTTCGCCGCTGTGGCCGTAGACCTTACTGCTCTAAGTTTAAATGGTGATGAAGCAGGGAAAGAAAAGGAAAAAGAGGCCATTCAGTTGTCCCTAAATCTGAGCAGCACTGCCTCTGTCTGGTCAGGCGTACTGGGGAGGAAGGTGGACTCCTTCTTCCAGATCCTCTTTCTGACATCCGACAGGATTTGAGCATCTCTGTCCATTATCACGACTAACGCTGAGCCTCTTTCAGTCCTTCAGAGAAAGGTGGGCTTGAAGAGCGTTTTTGCTTGTGCCCAGCGGGGTGTTTCCTCTCCACCAAGCTTCGCCTCGCCACCCTTTCCTGAACAGGGGAGGTGTGGGGGAAACCAGATCCTTACGTTTAAAAAAAAAAAAAAAAAACTGTGCGTCTGGTCTTTGGGGGCCGTTGATGACAGCATCCTGAATGGTGTCTGTGACTCTCTACAACATCCCTGTGATACCGCGAGGACCAAACAGCAATAAGCCTTGTGTGACAATGAATATTTGATGAATGTGGAATTTCCCATTAGCAAGGTCGAGTTGCAAATCATGGTTACATGTGCACTGTGTTTACATGCACTGGCATATTTAAAGAATAGAGGGGAGAATGCCCAGCCAGCTGCTCGTTATGAGAAAGGAGTTTAGTCCAGGAAAGGGTCATGTGCCCCTGGGTAGGGTGGGAGTCCATTGCTGAGCACACACACACACAAGCCAGCACACAGGGACAATTCAGAGACGCCAGGTAACTCAGTCTGAATGACTTTGTGAAGTGGATGGAAACCAATCAGGAGCACCTGAAAATGAAAAACTGACATAAACACATGGCGGTCTTGCAAACTCCACACAGAAGGTTCCCTGTTGAGACACAAACCTGAGCCCCTTGACGCGTGAGCCCACAGAACTAACTGCAGAGCTACTCTGCCATCCAGCAGAGTCAACCGCTTACCGAGTCACTTTGTGATGCTGCATCTCATTTGTTTACATTCAAACTGTTTACTTGTACATTGTCTACTTTTTGTTTGTATATTGTCCTGATGCACTGTCTGCACTTTGTGTTTTTTACACTTGTTTTAACAATCGAGAGACTTTCTGTCAGTAAGAATTCTATTGTGCCAGTACATGTACCGGTTACATATGGCAGTAAAGATCAGGTTCAAGTTCAAGTTCAGACACTGAAGACGGCATCTGCTCTGTTAATTCTTAATTCACAAGGAGTGCTGTGCATTTGGAAAACAAAATTGAGGAATACGGGCATTCCTGTCCTTCCCATCATGCAGCCCAGAGAATCACTGCTTCCCTATGTCTCCGGCAGTCTTCCTCAGCCAGTGTCTCACGGGAGACTTTCTGGGTCCCCTGGGGCGGGTCCCACAATTTCGTCCCCACAGCCCTGGTGTCACCCCATACCAGCAGGTCTGAGTCACAGCCCACAGCTGTGTGCCAGCAGGCCCTGAGTGTGGAGTCCCGTCCGTAACCCCAGCCCCTCTCAGGGAGACAGAGCAAGAGGCTCTGGCACAGGAAGTGGGATTCCTGAGAAAGTGAAAACTCCACATGTTTAGTTCCCTTCCGTGTTGGGGAAGTGTCGATGTCCATCTCAGAAACACAGTGTCTGGCCTTTGTTTTTCTTAGGTTGCTGTTGTGGTTCTTTTCCCAGATGGGCAAGAGAATATCCTGACAGGACAGCTCCAGTCACACAGCTCCAGCTCTCCAATGCCTGCAGTCTCTCAACAGTGTTGTTTCACTTCAGCTCTGAACTACACCTCTGACTGCTTGTTAGTTTAAATGGACCGGTTTAATGCTTTTCAATTTAGCTGTTGGCATCTTAAAGAGACCGGTCCAACCTGCAGGAATGTAGTTTCCCATCCATGAGAGAGGGTTATGAAAGGCATTCCTGTAGAACATATTATATTAATATTTTGTGATGCCACACAATCTTCAGGCACTTACAGGTTCCTTGATGGAAAAGCTGCATCCTCACTTAATTTGAATGAGATCAGTGCAATTCTGCACCAAGTGAGAATGATACATTAGTACCTTCTGCCATCATATTCAATCATCTAGTGTTCTACTAAATAGAATATGAACATACTGCACATAGGGGGCAGCTCATCCAGCATTTACAGGAGTGAGGCTCACTGCACAGCCCTCACACCACAAAGGCAGCAGTGAAAATCCTAAGGTTGAAGTGAAAAGGCTGACCGCCCTCTGTCCCTCTCCCTGCCCCAGGAACGACGGAGCGCGTGTGTCTCATCCAGGGCACTGTGGAGGCCCTGAACGGCGTTCACAACTTCATCGCCGACAAGGTGCGCGAGATGCCGCAGAGCGCCCAGAAAACCGAGCCAGTCAGCATCCTGCAGCCCCAGACCACCGTGAACCCTGACCGCGTCAAGCAGGTGAGCACCGCCCCGACACCCCACAGGAGCTGGCCGGGCTCGTCCGACAGCGCGCCCTTTCTTTCAGTTTTTCTTTCCCCTGGTAAGATTGTCTTGACAGCAGAGGGCTGTGACAATCTTTCTACTGAGAGGAGCAGTTGGTGTTTGTATTTGCAAGACTCTCCAGCCTGTTCCCAGTGCTCTCAGACTTGAATTTAATTTTACCCTTCCCTTAAGTTTAGCTTCCTTTGCAGGGCCAGACCCATCTTTCCTGAATTCATCATGAGCGCAGGTGATTGTTGGAGGAGCGTGTCTGTTAGGACTGCACTGCGGGCTGTGCTCCTAATGGCCTTGCCAAGATTATTAATAGTTTTAGCAGTAAATGACTATCAGACGACAAAGAGGAAAGAAACACCCAACAGAGCCTGCCTTTGTTGTTAAAACTGGTCATAACTTTCACATCCAAACTGAAATTTGGCTATCTACCCAAACGGCAATCAGACAATGAATCCAAAGAAAAGTGTGCTTCATTATAAAACTTGTGTGTGCTTTTATAAACACTTTTATAAAAATATAAAGCAGTTCTCTACATCCTGACACTGGTGAGCGTTTCAGGATCACCACCGGAGCACATCAGAAACGACACAGAGCAAAAATCAGAAATGCAGGATAAATCGATTAAGAAGGGCAACCTACCGAGCTGCATTTTAAATACAATGAGACGCGTCCTTTCGGGCTGATTTAACTCATTTAGACAAAGCAAGAAGCCAGGGCGATGTCACTGCATCGAGGAGAGCCCTGAGCCCACACACCCTATCTGGCACGGCTCGCTGCACATCCTCTGTCATGTGCTATCTCACACAGCCGCATGTGCCAGCACGACCCCCAGAACGCCAGCTTAATAAATACGTCAGCCCCCAGCGGGAAATGCCAGGCTGTGGTTGCAGGACCTGAACTATCGAAATCTGTTCAAGGTTCTTCTTTTGATGATTCCCATCGTCATCGTCACTGCGATGTCTTTAAGAAAAGCGGATTCTAAAAACATCTGACTTGCTGCATGCTGGGAAAGATTTTCGTTGAGGGGCTGTTCCAATAGCTATAGGGTGTCACGTGGCACAGTGCAGGGCTACCTGGGACACAGGGATAATAGGTTTCCTGTCCCAAAAGCCACCCTGGGTTCAGTTGTTCCATTTAATTTCCTGGGGCAGCAGTGTAGCTCAATTAGACAATGAATTGATTCTGTTCCCAATCTCTTTAAGAGATTATCACTGCTGGCCACTGAGTGGTTACACTCCATCGTATCTCCATTGATCGGCACGGTCCCGATCTGAGCGGCTGCACCAGTGATTGATGTTTATTTTCCAGTATTGGAAATGTGGTAGGAACTTGACACTTGATCGTTTATTTTTAAACGTATAACCTCCATCCCAGAAAAGCATTGCTTTTTCGAAATTGAGCCCCTTCTTTTGTTTTTTTTTTCAAATGAAAAATGAAATCGCTAACAGCTGCAGCCCTCATCCTTATTAGCCCAGAGTAATTAACCCTTTAGTAAAGGGTTCAGACTCCACTACCAGAGGAGCGCAGTGTCACCTGGACATCATAATTGAAGTGTGGAGTGTCTAAGAGTTTGAGGAAGTGGGTAAATTCCTCACTTCTCTCTGAGCCCCAGAGTGCTTTTTGTGGAAATACAGTGTGTTCTGAACACATCCTGGAATGCATCAACTGGGAAAGAGAGCTTAAGCAGAACTGAGAAAAACCAAGGCCATGCAGTGATAAAGGACTATTAATATAATTACTATTAATTAATAACTAATAAAGCTAATAATTGCTGCACTCATAGGGCCTGGAGTCTCTTGGAGGTACATGACAGCTTGTGGTGTAGGAGAGGCTCAGCTCTGGTCTTCAATTGCCACATGGCTGTTTTTCCATTTAAACTCAAAGGATAACCACCTAACTAATTGTTTAATTGGGCCAAATTAACGAGCAGGCCTGCTGGGAGGCTGTCTCTGAGCTGCTGGAGTGTGGCAGGAAGATGCTGGAGTTGTGTGCTGTTGTGGCGCTGTGGCACACAGAAAGATATGTTTTGAAAGATTCGCCCTGATTGTGCGCCGCACAAGGGTGAATGTTTTATCTCTCTGATGTTCTGCGGTTGTGTTCCCCCGCCTCTGGTGTCATGTCGCTCATCAGCCTGCTTTCTGGGGAGCGGGGGCCTGAAAGATGTGCCATCCGAAGTGGAGCCATGATGAACAGCAGCTGCTGGCTGAACGAAGTGGCCTTGGCCGGGGCCGTGCCACTTCAAACCACAGCGCCGTCTGCGGCCGGCCTCGGCCCGTGTTTGTGTTACTCTCCCCTCTCTCCAGCGGCTTCCGCTTTCGAAAGTTTCCCTTGCCCTTTAACCCCGGCTGCGAAACACCTGCTTCCCACATCCTGTTTTTCCCTGGCTCCTGCAGGAAGTGCTCCATACAGGCAAAGGAAATCGGGAGTCTGAGCTGCGCCAGATCAAACTGTGATGTGAGGCAGTGCTGGAAGGGGGAGCCGAGCCGATAAAGGGAGCCTGAAAGCGTCAGGAGGCTTTCCCCTTGTTTACCAGTCAATCCTTTCCATCGCACTGCTGCTTAATTATATTATCCGGCTTTTATCCAAAACAACTCCCATTAATACAGTTGGCTATTTTACTTGCTCAAGAACACAGCCACAGTTGTATCGCCACTGGCTTTGGACTCGTAACTTTCCAGTTCTGAGCCCAGAGTCCGAACCTCTCCTCCACCTCGCTGCCGCGTTGTTAATAAAATCCTTCCATTATTCGCCAGAGAGGAATCTGAGGAGTCCAGCAATCTTTACTGTTTGTCACTGCACCTCGCTGATGGTGACTCACATTCAGAGACAATGAAGGAACTTTAAAACATAATCAGTGCAAGCAGGTAATGTCTGGGCAAAACCCAGACAGATTAATTCCTTCCCTTCCCTCTGTGACTGTATTCTTTATAAAGAAAGCTTCTTCTTGCTGACCCGAGGAGATTTGTTTTAAAGTACTTGGGAAATCCCTTGTAAAAATACTCATCTGCACTTTTACTGCTAAAAATCTCAAACAACATAAAGTATATGAGATTCTTATATTAATAATAATTCCTGGGGTAAAAAATATCCTGCTATAGTACTTTTGTGGAAAATGCAGTTTGGGCATTGACCTATTTTCAGGTAACACCACAGGAAATAGAATTCAGGTATGAACAGCAGTATGCTTGTGATAAAACAAGTATGGTGTGCAATTTCAGTAAAGCTCTGTCTTTTCACCTGAAAGATGCCTGAGTGCTGTATTTTCTGTGTTTACCGATATGGTTTTTAGCCTTGTCACAAGGACATTAGTTAAAAGCAAAAGAAGAAAACTGTTTTTAAATGGAGTTTGCAGCAGACGTTCAGGCAGGTGGAGCTGTCCTCAATCGTAATCAGTCCAGAAGTACCGCAAGTAAGCCTCTCCTGCTGCCCCTGGTTCACTCCTCTCTCTGCAGGGGTCCTCTGGCCGGGGGCTGGCCCTCAGCCAGGCAGAATAAGCCAGATCTCACCGTGACTCAGCACGCCATAAACATCTCCAGTGCCATCAGTTTGGGGATGTTGTCCTTCCTCGTGAAGGGTATGTTTCCAGGACTGAGAGGTTAATTGACCACAGCAGTTCGAAATCAGACTGAGGTGGGGAGGACTGCAGAACGCGTGCAGACACGTGGTTCAGAAACAGAAAGAAAGGGAGGAAACCGATTGCAGGGAAAAGGTCGAATGAGGAATAATTTAACAGAAGTGCTGCCACGGCGATTTAGACCAACATCAGGGCACGTCTTGCTGCTCTGCTGTCTGCAGAACCGATGAAACGCGCCAGAGCCTGAACTCGTTTAACTCTGCAGGTGCTGAAGCATCTTTTGTATTGCAGACGATCAGAGCAGTTGAGCCCCACCATGTACAGGGGTTTGGGGGCTGTTAGCCCTTCAGCACCAGGCCCACAAGGGTATGGGTTACAGCTCTTTCGGACTCCGGACTGGTGGCGCTGGGTGCAGGAAGAGCTTTGTTTTCAAGCCCATTTCACACCCCGTTTCTTTCAGGTTTCCCTTATTTTTTCTGTCTGCGACGCTGGCAAGGCCGCGAGATTTAATTATCTCGCGTCCTGAATCTAATAACAGGTCCCACTGAAACGGTGCGCTTGAAACGCAAACTAATCTATACAGCCATGCAGAAAACTGGAGCGTGGGCATCTTAAATTAAAAGTGACATCAGGGGAATTGCTCTAACGTCTGAAATTGAAAACAGGCACTCAGCTAACTCCCCCCTCCTCCCCTCTCTGCCGTCCATCCCATGGGGATTAATGGCCAGCCTGGATATTTTATGCTGTTTTTTAACATTCCTTTTCCATCACTTGCCTTGAAAAGGTCACCTTGCCCTCTCTGCCAAGTATTGATTCAATCCAAAGAAAAGCTGGAGAGAAGCAATACGAAATATTTATGGTCCGACATTAATGCATCCCCTCCGACAGAGTCTGAGGGCCTCTGAAGGAGAGACAGGGGCATGTGTGCTCCAACTGGCTCGCTAGGGATCTCGGGAACGCACTGCTCGGGACAGCTCCCGGATTGCGGAATTCTCACGAGCCAGTAGGGCGATATTTGCTCGTTTGTTCTGTGCTGTTCTGTGATATCTTAACAAAACAGAGGTGTGCTAGGAAAGGTAAGCCCTCCCCTTCAGTGGAAGACCAAAAAGTATACAGATAAACAGCAAGTGGACGCGCATTTCCTCCTTGAAACCGAGAAAATCAATGTTCTATACAGCTCTTGGAATGCTGACTTAAAAATATCCATGCATTATCCCATTATCCTTTCTGTGTATTGGTATTCATCTGACTTAATATCCACACCTGTGAAGGAGACAGGAAAGCTATAATATTCATTAGTTCTTGCAGGGTAGTTAGCTGTTGGGGTTTTACCTCTTCAGAGTAAAGAGGTAACCAATACCTAGTTTAGGAAGTGTCTGTGTGGACTTCC